TCCGACTTCGGCTCAGGCCACGATCTTGCGGTTCACGAGTTCGAGCCCCACATCAAGCGCAGAGGCCGCTTTGGATCCTCTGTCCCCCTCTCTCTGCCCCTCCCCTACCCGCTGGCGCGCGCGCGCGCGCGCTCTCTCTCTCTCTCTCAAAAATAAACAAACATTTAAAAAAGAGAGAGAGTTGATTAGCGGTTGCCAGGGCTGGGGGAAGGGGAAAATTGGGAGTGACTGATAAATGGGTATGGGGTGTCCTTTTGGGGTGACGGAAAAGTTCTGGAAGCAGGTGGTGGTGAATGCACCAAGTGTCGCTGAATTGTGCGCTTGCAAATGGTTCAGACGGTAAAATGTTAGTGCGTTTTTATCGCAATCCAAAAGCAATGCGTTCGAGGTGTAGAGATACACAGACCATGAGGGACAAGGGGCGCCGGTGAATTGGCTGGAGAGATGGCCCGTCAGTTTCCTTCGGTGGCTGTCACCAATTAGCACCCCCTGGGGGCTTACACCAGCACGGCTTTGTCCTCTCACAGTTCTGGAAGCCGAGAAATTCCCAGATCGGTCTCTGAGCCAAAACCAAGGGGGCGGTGGGACCGTGTCCCCGCCAGAGGCTCGAGGGGAGAATCCGTTCCTTGCCTCTTCCGGCTTCTGGAGGCTTCCGGGGTTCTTTGGTTTGTGGCCCCATCACCCCGATCTTGAAGGCTGGCATCGGCAAATCTCTCCGCCCCCCGTCTCCGCTTGCCCACCTCCTCCGTGTGTCGTCTAAGCTCCCTCTGCTTGTCTCTTACAAGGAGGTCGTGACTGCATTTAGGGTTCACTTGGATCATCCAGGGTGATCTCCCCGTCTCAAGACCCTTTGTTTGTTTGTTTGTTTGTTTATCTATTTTTGGGAGAGTGCAAGCAGGGGAGGGACAGAGAGAGGGGGAGACAGAGAACCCCAAGCAGGCTCTGCACCGTCAGCACGGAGCCCGACGCGGGGCTCAACCTCGCGATCCCGCAAGATCATGACCCGAGCCGAAGTCAGATGCTTAACCGGCTGAGCCCCTCCAGGCGCCCTCCCTGCCTCCCAGACCTTTTACTGGGTCACACCGGCAAAATCCTTCTCTGTCCTATAAGGTGACATTCACGGAGTTGGGACGCGGCTCTCTTTGGGGGGCAGTATTCAGCCTACCAGGAATGGCCACCAACCATCCCTCGACTCTCTTTATGCCCACGCCCCACGGATCAAGAGGCGGCATCCGCTTGCGTTCCCCCGCGGCAATCTTGTGACCGGCTTTGACCGACAGAATGTAGTCGAAAGTGACGCGAGCCATTGTGGTGGCTTCTACAGTGGCTCCCTTGCAACCTGGCCGCCGCCACGCCGGAGAGAGGTCGGTCTGGGCCACCCTGGGGAGGAGGGGGGCCGCTGGAAGAGAGACGGAGACCTTTGGAGACAGAGAGACGGGGAGAGACAGCAGCGCAGGGACACGAGGCCAAGGAATCGTCAAGAAAGTCACGGGCTCCCGGCCACAGGCCCGGCGAGGCTTTGAGCCACACGCGTCGGTTACCTCAGACGCCAGTCCCGCGGGGCCTGCAGATAACTGGGACCCCAGCTGACACCCGGCCGCCGTCCGGGGACAGACCCCGAGCCAAGACCACCCAGGTCAAGCCACAGAGCCCACGAGAACTAAGTCGCCCGCGGAACCGTGGGAGATGCTACTCACCCGTTGCTTCAAGCCGGTAAGTTTTGGGAGTGGCTTGTTACGCAAGAGTCGAGCAGGGCAGGGGGCCTGGAGGCTCAGGGAACCGCGGGTGAGGAGTAGGACACGGGGCAGTTGCGGCGGGGTCTTAGGCGGAAGGTCTTTTGGGGGGAAACAGGCTAGAATGTTCGGGAGAAACAGGCCAAGCACTCGGGCGGGGGGGCCGTTGGGAAAGATGATGGCGAGGACAAGTGGGTGTCGAGTTCGGGTCCCGCCGGGGCCTCGATCTCAGAACAGCGGGTGTCACGGGTCCAGGACCCTCGGGCGTTAATTTCGGGGTCGGTTTCACCCCCCACCACTGTTCTGATTGGCCAGAGTTTCCCGGCAGCCGCTGGGCAGGCTCCCTCCAAGGTTTCTGCCTTAGACGTTGCTCACGGTGCCTCGACATCCGGTCTCCCACTTTCCCCCGAAACATCCCCTGAGATTTTAAGCGTGACGACTCCGTCCTTCCGGTTGGAATGACGTCACGGAGGTGAGCCATCCTGAGCCAAGGGGATGAGGGCCATCCTGCGGGCACTATTCACTTCACACGTACTTCCTTCTCTAGGCAATCAGCAGCTCTGTTTTGCAAAGAGACAAGCCCAGAGAGGTTAAGTAACTCGCTCGAGGTGGCCCAGCTTGCGAGCGGGAGAGCCGGGATGTGAACCCATGTCGTCTGACTCCAGGACCAACATCTTTGAGTCTGTCAAGTCCTTAACCAATTCGAAAGTCCGGCGAACGTTACAAGCCCCGTTCTGGGAAAACGGTCCCGCATGTGCCGTTTGTAGGCAAGCGCAGAGAGTTCCCGAAACCTGCAGACTCCGGCTTGAGAACCCTCATGTAGTCTGTTCCCTGAGCACCTGTCTGTGGTCTTGGGTGCACACGGCCGAGCGTGACTGGTTCCACAGAAGCCGAGTGTACACGTCAGCTTAGACCGTGTGATGCTGCCATAACAAATATCCCCAAATTTCTCAGCCGACGGAAATAAGCATTTCTTTCTTTCTTTCTTTCTTTCTTTCTTTCTTTCTTTCTTTTTGAGAGAGAGAGAGAGCACGTTTGAGCAGGGAAGAGGGGCAGAGGGAGGGAAGGAGAGAGAGAATCTTAAGCAGGCTCCACACTCAGAGCAGAGCCCAACTCAGGGCTCAATCCCATGACTCTGGGATCCTGACCTGAGCTGAAACCAAGAGGCAGATGCTCAACCGACTGAGCCACCCAGGCGCTCCCCCTTCTCTTTCTTAGTAATCTCTCTGTCCAACGTGGGGCTCAAACTCATGACCCCGAGATCAAGAGTCGCATGCATGCTCTGCTGACTGAGCCAGCCAGGTGCCCCAGATTTATTTCCCGATCAGGGTACAAGCCCACGGCAAGCTGGCTGCATGACACCCTCACTCTAGGACCCCGGGCTGTTAGTGTCTACGTTACGCCGTCACCATGGCTGAGGAGAAAGAGGCATGGCTGAGCACGCACTGGCTTTAAAAGCTTCTACCCAGGAGGGTCACACATCACCTCGGCCCTCTTTCTTTAGCTGAGGAAAGTCACTTGGCCACTACTGAATTCAAAGGGGGCAGGAAGGTACAATTTTCCCACCGGGAAAGCAAATCAAATTTACTAATGCTTAATACAATTTACCATATGGAATTTATGGGGGGGGGGGAAGGATACGAGTGGCTCACGGGAGCATGGAGTGGCCTGGAGAACCAGGCATGAGGCTGTTTCCAGAAAGAGAGCCCCAAACCACGCCCAGAAGTGACCTGACAAGGAAGCTGCTTCCATAACCCCTGAAAACCTCCGTCTTAGATGCACCCCCCACCCCCGCCTTTGCACCTGCTCCTGGGACCGTGAGGTAACTGCACCTGCCCGTCCCCCTGCCCCGCAGTGCTGATGTCGCCTCTGTGTCTGTGCTCCTTACAGCCGGCGAGCCCTCCCAAAGTCACAGGGTGCCTGTGTCACACTGTCCTCACCGGCTACGTGGAACCCATAAGGAGCCCCCTTTGCAAGGTGCTCCTCTGGAATTCAGGACTCCTGCTGGTGAGTCAGTTTGGGGAATCCAACTCACATGTCTGTGCCCTGGATGTAAAGGAGGCTGGGAAAGTGGGTTCCGAGGCTTCTTTCTAGAGGATGCAAACTCTGGAGCCTGGAAACACCGCCAAAACATAGTGAGTGTGCTTAGTAGCCGACTTGGGCCGAGGTCCTGCGTGATCTCGCGGTTCCTGGGTTCGAGCCCCGCGTCGGGCTCCGTGCGGACAGCTCAGAGCCCGGAACCTGCTTCGGGTTCTGTGTCTCCCTCTCTCTCTCTGCCCCTCCCCCGCTCACGCCCTGTCTCTCTCAAAACTAAACAAACATAAAAAGAAAAGAAATTTCCACCACATGCTCATGTGCCTGAGGTCCGGAGAGATGGGAGGTGGCAGCAGAAGGCTTCGGCGGGTCTCTGTGTTCGGTTCCCGTTGCGGCTGTTAACGCATTACCACCAGCCCAGGGGCTTCAAACGACACGCATTTATTCTCTCACAATCCTGGAGGCCAGAGGTCTCAAGTCAAGGCAACCGCAGCTCATTCCGGAGGCTCGAGGGGAGAGGCCAGGGGCGCCCGGGGTCCCTCGGCTGGTGGCACTGCCTGGTGACTCCAACCTCCACTTCCCTTGTCCCATGTCCTACGGTGATCACCGCCCCCCCCCCCCTTCGGAGGACCCTTGCGGTTGCACTGAGAGCCCACGCACATCGTCAAGGGGAAGGTCCGCTCCGTAAGATGTCGCGGTTAATCACATCTGTAAAGTCCCTCTTGCGGTGTAAGGGAACACAGTGTCCACGCGGTCTCAGGAGTAGCGTGCGGACGTGTGCGTGCGTGTGAGTGTGCGTTGGGGGGCATTATTCAGTCTACCCCAGCGTGGCTTAATGGAGCGCGTCCAAGGCTTCTCCGTCCTATGGACTCCTGTAGAGCCCAGCCAGTGGAGGGGCTGGAGCGAGGTCAGGGTTTCACCCCACCCCCCACCCCCCCAGCGGCAGCTCCCACCGGCCCCGCCCCGCCCCACGGGCGTGGGACGGTCGCACGCCTATACCGGAGCCACAGCTGGGGGGGGGGAGGGGGGGCATCCCTCTCCAGATGGCCCTCCTCTCCAGCTTCTGGAAGTCACTCAACCCCCGCCTCACCCCCCCACCCCCCGCCTTGCCCCTCCGGCTTTCGCCTCGGCTAGCCCCAGAGTTCTGCGCCACCCCTCGGCCATCTCCCTACACCCTGCACGCCTTCAGCCCCCCAGATCGGTGCCGTCTGTGTCCTGCTCCAAAGCCCTTCCACTCACGGGTCCCCGACCTGACCGCCACCTTTTCCACCCTGCTCGGCCTGTGTCACCCACTGCTCTGTGAGCCGGCCGAGAGCAGGGTCCAGGGACATTTCTGGTCCCTGCAGTGGCCCCAGCAGAGCGCCAGGCGCAGAGCGGGCAGGTGCTGGGTGAAGTGAATTAGAGAATTGGGGGGCTAGAGGGAGAGGAGGGGATATCCCTCATTCGTCTCCCCTGCGTTTGGGTTTTAGCAACAGAGACTCGGCACAGCCGGTTTGCAGGGAATCTGCGTCGCTCTGTCCTGAGGCTTTTCTGGGATGGGGATTGTGGTCCGCGAGTTGGGCGGGGGGGGGGGGAGAAAGGAGGCCAGGGGTGAGGGGAAAGAATATGAACTAAGAAAGTGAGCAAGCTGGAAATATCCAGAAAGTATAACGTTTCCATCTACTGAGTTCTTACTATGTGCTGGGTATTATTCTAAAAAATATAGATAAGTTAATACAACCCTGTACCATCAGCCCCATTATTATTATTATTATCCCCACTTTCCAGATGCGGGAACTGAGGCACCAAGAGAGGAAATCTTTGCGCTCTTGTTGGCTTCCGTGACAGTTCACGTAGATCCCTCGCAAGCTGACTCCCGTGGGACTCGCAGCATCATCACGTCCCTCGTCACATCCACGTCCCAAGCCCTGGATGTGCTGCTCTTTGAAGCTGAGATCTTAACTTCCTGCCGCCAGGCTCGCCCATTTCCTTGCCGGGTAAGATAGGTGTACTGGTCCTCTGTGGCGCTCTGGGCCTCAGCCACCTCCGTCCCCGCCCTTTCTAGACATGACACTTCGGGCAAGTTGCTTCCCCTCTCTGAGCCTGTTTCCTGCGCCGGTAGAAGCGGGGGGGAGATCCGCAGGAGGACCCGACACAGTGCCTGGCATCGTTGCTGTGGGCCCCAGGAACGTGAGATGCTCTTATGCCCCTGCATTCAATGCCCTCCTGCTCCACAGCCCTTCCCACCTTGGAGGGGAAAGTCCGCTCACACCCGTATCTTCCTCCAGCAACCCCCTCTTTCTCTACAAGGTTGTCCAAAGCGTGGTCTACATGCTCTGCCTCAGTTTCCCCGACTTCCACTCCCTCCTCCTCACTCTAGATCAGCCCGCCTGCTGCCCCACACCCTCCACCAAACTGCTCCGGTCCAGTCCCAAATCCCAAGGTCGCTTTCTACTGCTCATCTTTTCCCACCTTTCACTCCGTCAACCACGCCCTCATTCTGGAAACGCTCTCCCCTCGGCTTCAGGTGGAGCCAGTCCGCAGGTTTCCCACCTCTCTGGGGGGTCCTTCCCCCCCCCCCCGCCCCCCCCCAGGCGGGTCTCCCGTGTTCCTTGTGCCCCACCCCCTCCGTAGCTTGGTGATGCCTCACTGCCCACAAATCTCAAGCCCCTGTCAAGCACACCCCCCCTCCCCTGAGCTCCAGGACGCCCCCCTCCACTTCCCCGATGTCTGTGGATGTTCCCCTAGGCATCACCCTCAGCATATACTCACCTGTACCCAGCGAGTTCTCCAGACCTGTTCCCCAGATTATCCCCACCTTCATTCCCCAAACCCAGGAGAAACCTCACTGCCTCTGTGGCAAATTCTCCACCATGGCTCCCTCCCCACCCCCACCCCCCAATTCCCGGACCCACTCTCCACCCTTCTCCCGCCCCGCTCTGTGTCCCAAGAGGCTGACCTCTATGCACCACCTGTTGACCTCTGGCTTCTGGTGGAGTTCAGCCAATGGAAGGCACCAGCCGGAGACTGGTGGGCGGGAGGAGGGTCAGGTTGGGGTGCTCACTCTCCAGCCCCCCCCCCACACCCCGTCTCTTGGGTGTGGGCTGTCCCTGCCCATACCCCGGGCCTCCGCTCTAGCCACCCCTTCAAGTCTCAGTAGCTTCAGCTCACACTTCAGCCTTCGAGCTGGGGTGGTGGAACTGCTCCCTCTACTGCTGGCCCCGGGTACTGCACCTTCCCCGAGCTTGTTTTCCTTGACCTTGGCCCCCTCCCCTCCCCCCGCCTTAATCCCCTAAAATAGCCCTTTCGTTAAACTCTCCCTGGCTATTCCGTTTGGGTGCACTCTCTCTTTCCTGCCAGGGCCCTGCCTGTGCGCTCTCTCCGAACCCTCCCATCCAGCCTGACCCATTATCTCGAGCCACCACCCCCTTTCCCCCCCCCCCCCCCCCGCCCACTCCAGGACCCTTCCTTGGCCGCCCCAGCCTCCTCCCTGATCTCGCAGCCTCGGGGCTCACAGGCAGCCAGAAGGCAAGTTGGAAAATGTAAATCAGACCACATCAACTGCCTGCCCTCCCTTCCCCGTCCCCCTTAAATCCCTTCCAAAGCTCCCCTTTGCTTTTGGGATACATTCGAAGCTCCTGAGAGTGGCTGATAAGGTCTCTTGGGCTCTCTCCACTCCCCACCCTCATGCACCCCATACTCCATTCGTGCAACCCTCTTGCAGGAGTACGAAAAAGCCGGTAACTCACAAGTCCGCACACCTTTACATAGGCTGTGCCCTTCACCTGGACACACACACACCCCCCTCCTCCTATATCAGGATTCTGAGAAAATGACTTGCTTTATTCGGGAAACTCCCATCAACCCCAGCTCCTCTGATCAGGCAAATCTGGGTCCTCCTCTTTTGTGTTCCCAAGATGCTCAGTGAAAGGGAATAGTTGGTGGCTGCTGGGATGGGGGCGTGGCTAGGAAAGCTCCCGGAGCGGAGGCGTGGGGGCGTGGCTAGGCAAACTGGGTGGCGAATGAGGGCGTGGCTACGGGAAGCTGGTGTGAACTTTTGGGAGTGGCTGGTGCCCGTGGGTGTCCTGCCTGGAAAGACCCAGAGTACCTGGTCTATTTCACAGTTGCCCAAATCTCAGTCACAGACCTCATGAGCTCCCTCCTCTAGAATCCCAACTCCTCGCAAGAAGGCTGTTTTGTTTTGTTTTGTTTCAGGCAGAATTTCAAAGTTTTATGGCAACTTGTACAGAAATCACAGAGAAGAGACAACGACCGGTGCTGATGAGCTAGGAGTAGAGAAAGGGGAGTGGGTAACAGGTCTGGGATGTTGGGGTGATGCACAACAGGACGATAGGACGCTAAAAACCTGTGGGAAGCAGGGTGTTACAGGGGTTGCAGGGTGATCCTCAGGGTCCCAAGAAGTGGGCAGCACTCCGCACACCCCAAGTGTGTCCTTTGGGCAGGAAACAACGGTAAGAAAATGCAGGTGGCCTACCAACAGACGGGTGGCCTCCAAGGTTAAAAATGCCCACCCAGACCCCCTGGCCCCAGTCCCACCCTCCCACCCACCCACCCACCCCTGCTCCCCATCAGGCAGAGATGTGGCAGCATTTGCTGGCTTGTAGCATTGGTCCTCTGGGACCCTCGGTCTCCTCTTCGAGGGTCCTGCCCGGATTGGCTGGCACTGAGGGCAAAATGAGCCTTCTAGATTGTCAGGGGAGATCGCTGGACTCCCTTCGATTCCCGGCCTCCTCCCCAAAGCCAGTTACCACGGCTGGGGGAGTCTGCTGCCCTCGCAAAAGGAAAGTCTGTCACCCCCTTTCCCCAAGACATGCACCCTCCCGTGTCCCCCCTCCCCCAAACACACTATATATACACACAGGCCCCCCCCCACCCAAGGTGTGGCTGGGCTCTAGGAGGTAGTGGAGGCCAGTGGGGGCGCTGGAATGTGAGAAGTTGCAGGTTCAAATGCGCCTCCTCCAGCTCTGAAACCCCACACTTCTCCCCTCCCTTCTCCAAGCCTCGAAAATTAGTGTCCTCCCAAGGGCCTGAGTGGAGAAATCAGGGAAGGCGTGGCCCCCTTTTGCACGCACCTACCTGTTCCTCCGCCCCACCCTCGGGGGCTGAACAGAGCTCGCTGAGGGTTGGGGAGAGGGGCCGAGATCAGGGACATCCTGGGATGGGTCAGCCTCCTTCAAAGGTCCCCCAGGGAGGGCTGGGTTCTGAGGCTCTGGGGCACAGGTCCCTGGCGGTGGTGGCGGTGGGAGGGGGGGGGCGTCCTCTAGAGGAAGGGGGCCTTAAGGGATAGGGTAAGGCTGGGTGTGGAGGGAGACAGATGTTATAGATTCTCTAGAAGGTCGCGGGGTAGGGGGCGGTTCTCTGGGGAGGGGCCTCGAGGTGGCAATGTCCCCGGGGGGGGGGGGGGCGGACAGTGGCTACCAGGGCTGGGCGGCAGTTGTGGGTATCTCGGGGAGACCCCCGAGGGGAAGGGACGAGGATGTTAGTGGGGACGGAGGGCAGGGATATTAACTGCCAGGAGGAAGGGAGGCTGAGTCCCAGGAGAGAGGAGGCCGAATCTCTCTGGAGGACAAAAGGAGACGCGGGTCCGAAGCAGGGGCAGCCGAGTCTCTGGGGAGGGGGAGGGGGGCCTAGAAGCCCCGGATGTGGCAGTACGCCTCGAGGCTGGCGAAGAGGATGTACAGGAACCAGAGGCCCAGGAAGAGCGCCGTGGTGGCGAGCTTGGGGCCCCGCGGGCCGCCCAGCTCGCCGCCGATGTGCGGCCGGCGCCGGTACAGCAGCACGGCGATGCCCACGAAGGCGAAGACGGTGAAGAGAGTGACGGAGAAGGCCAGCGTGCCGGTGCGCACCTCGAACGGGCGGCCCTGCACCGCCCAGTACACGGCGGCCACCGACCAGGCCACGCCCAGGCCCAGGAACACGTTCACCGCGTTGGAGCCCGTCACGTTGCCGATGGACGCGTCCGCGCACTGGTCCTGCAGCGCCGCCACCTTGCTGGCGAACGTGTCTGCGTGGGCAGAGACACGGCGGTCACAGGGGCCCAGCCTGTCCCCCACGCCAGCTTCCCAGGAGACCCCGACACCGTCCCCGGTGCCCCCCCCCCCCCCCCCCGGGCAGACCCCGCCTCCCGCGGCCGCAGCTCCCCGCCGGAGGCCCTTGACCCCAAGCAAGCCACAAAGTGGGTCATCATGCCGGTGCCGGGCGCTCTGCAAGACTCGCTGCCTGCTTTCTATGGGACTTGTCTGCATCCAGTGGTATCCACGGCCTACTTTCTATGGCACCCCCTGCCTGCTTCCGGTGGAACCACTGTCCGATCGCAGTCTCTGCATTCAGGGGGGGTCTGCTGCCTGCTTTCTATGGGACTCGCCGCCCGCTTTCCATAGGAATCGCTGTCTGCATTGCATGAACCCGCTGCCTATTTTCTACTGGCCCCATCACCCCATCGCCAGCTGGCGGGACAAGTGTTCGGTTCCACCCACATGCAACCCCCTTCCCGTCAATTCCCCACCTGGTCTCTGTCCAGCACGCAGCCCCCTTTCTGCGGCCTCCACCCATTTCTCAACATCTCGCTAAAAACTCAAATCTCCGGTATAGAGCGCAGGCATCGGAGAGCCAGTCACAATAGCTGCTTTCTGGGGCGCCTGGGTGGCTCAGCGGGTTTAGGCGGCTGACTTTTGCTTTCGGCTCAGGTCGTGGTCTCACGGCGGTGAGACGGGCCCCCCCGGCCCCCCCCCCCCCCCCCCGAGTCAGGCTCCACACTCAGGGCGGGCTTGGAGCCTGCTTGGGATTCTCTCTCTCCCTCTCTCTCTGCCCCTCCCCCACTGTTCTCTCTCTCTCTCTCTCTCTCTCTCTTTCTCCAAAAATAAACATGAAAAAAAAAAAAAGTTGCTTTCTACAGGCCCCGCCCCCTGCTTTCTATGGAACCCACTGTCTGGGTCCTACATTTCCCAATACCTTAGTTCTACGGGACATCCCGATGGTTGCTTTGGGGGAGGATTCCGTTTACCTACTGCATCTACAGGACCTCCCCGCCTGGTTTCTCTCATGCTCCCTCATTACGTTTCTGTGGGGCCCACCATCCGGGTTCTGTGGGATTCCACCACCTTATTTCTGCACAACCTTCCTCTCGGGCTCTACTGCTGGGCTTCTCTGAGACTCTCCCCGGACCAGCGGTTTCCCAGGGGGGTTACCAGGGATGGAGGTGCCCAGGGCCACGAAGACTACGGCGTTGACAGAGTCCTTGAGGCCGACGGTGCAGCCAAAGTGCGAGGCAAGGTCCCCGATGAGGGCGGTGAGCAGGCCGATGACCAGGATGCAGACGCCGAAGCAGGCCCAGCCGTGGCAGTACTCCGTGGGGGGCACGCAGGCAAAGAGCACCTTCCAGAACACCGTCAGGAAGTGCATGACGTAGTCAAAGCAGGAAGGCAGCCGTTCCTCCCGGGACCCGTCCTCCTCCTCCTCCTCGTCCCCTGTGGGCACACGACCCAGCTGGGGCACACACCCAGGCCACCTTCTTCCTGGCCTACCGAGCGGCCCCCCCCCCCCCCCCCGTTTTGTTCAGTAAAATTCTGCTCTATAAAATGCCTTGCCTTCTCAGAATTCCTTGCGGCCAGGAGCCCAGATACCAATACTCGCTTTTCCAGAATCCCTCGGTGCCGGAGGCCATGTGCTCGGCTAAAAACATCTGGCTTGCCAGGATCCCTTGCCGCTAGGGGTGGCCACATCCCTAGCCAAAAAAAAACCAGTCCTTTTCCCAGACGCCTTCATAGCTACCATTTACAGAAAGCCATTTCTACAGCTGGAAATATTGACTTCCTCTGACTCATTGTAGCTAACAGTAGCCACATACTCAGCTAAAGGTGCTTGTTTTCCCAGAACGCCTTGCAACAGCAGCCCTGTGACCCAGCCCGGCCAGGAGACCTAAGCGGAGGGCTTCTGGAAAGCTCTGGCTTTCCTGACACGGGCACTGTGTCACAGAGGTGTTTTCTGACCGCTGTAAAGGATGCCTCACTGGCCCTTCGTGGTGCTTGTATCACCTGCTGTGACTGAATGTGACCTGTCTTTGACCTGCCACTTGGGACGTGTGTCAGGGGAAAGCCCACATGGAATGTGTCGTCTACCTTGCCCTAAACTGAGAAGCACAAAGCAATGAATGAGAAGTAGGAAACGAATTGAATGGGCGCTACGCCTGGAAGGACGCCGATAAGGAAGAGGGTAGTCCTCGATCAGTCGCGCAGAGCAAGTCAGGGAGCAAAATGCAGGGAGCCACGGCGACGACGGGCACCCAAGCTCCTCTGAATTGTCAGCCAGCAGAGGACACACTGACGGATTCGGGAATTCGGGTCATCTATCCCTCTCCTGCTTTTCCAGCTCACTTAGTCTCTTGTCTTGTTTTTTTTTTTTTTTTTTTAAGTTTGCAAATGCTTAACTGAGTGGTTTCTTCATTCTTTGCACCATCTTTCAAAGGAGACTTTTGCGGCGACCCCAGGAAAAGTGGAATTGGACGCTCCAAAGCAGCAGGCACGCTGCCCCTTCTTGCTATCCTACTGCCTCTTTCTCCCCGCCTGGAATGCGAGCTTGACGCCTGGGGATGCGGCAGCGATTTTGCCACCATGTGGGCAAAGGTTGAGAGTGGGAAAGATAAATGAAGAGGGAGCCTGGGCATTTAATGATGTTACCGAGCTGCTGACTCTTTATTGCCTCCTACGGATTCCTTTGTTCTGTGGCAAAAGTAACCTCCAGGGTGCTTCAGCTGCTTGTGGTTGCGTTTTCTGTTGTTCGCCGCTGAATGCGTTCCTCACTGGCCACGGTGAGACGTGGCCGAAGTCAGAGTGGGGAGAACGCGCTCTTGGCAGGGAAGGGCTGCTATCACTGCCTCTCCCGGGGGCTTTTCCCTGCCCTGCTTCAAATCCTGCCTTGGTTTCCCACTGCCCTTAGACCGAGGCCCACATTCCTGTGCTTGGCATTCAAGGCTCCGGTCTCTGCAGACTCCTCCAGCCTTTCCCATCAGGGGAGGCTCTTCAGCCTTTCCCATAGAGGGAGCCTCATGGTTACGCCTGTGGCTCCGGAGCCACGTCTCTGGTTCCAAACTCCGGATCTGCTGCGTGATCCTGAATCCGTGTCCTAACCTCTCTGAGCCTCCGCATGCCTATCTGAGAAATGGGAGTAAAAACTGGACCTGCCTCAAGAGGGGTCTGTAACGACTGCATGAGGCGGGCCACGTAAAGTACTCTCTGCGCAGCCCGGCGGCGCATCTCCAGCCTGACGGCTGTTATTGAAAGGCCCCTTCTAGTGCCTGGGGAGATTCACGCGTCATCCAAGGGGGTGAGACCCGCCCCTCTCCGTCAGCCCCTCAAGCAGTTTCATGCTCGCGGCAAGGAGGCAGGGGCACGTGTTGAACAAAGTGCTCAGAATGATCAAGGACCGGGCTGGAAACTTGGGGAGCATTAGCTGACTCAGGCCAGACAGGAAATGGGCTTCAAAGGCTGCCTGGCGCTCCAAGGTCCCCATCATGACGTCATCATCAGGATTCTTACCGCTGGTAGGGTTTTACCCTCCCCCACTCCACTACTTCCTCTGATCTAATGGGTTGCTTCCTGCCGACCCACCAGCTGAGTCACCTCCACGACCACCGACCACCGGCTCACACCCCGCAGCCTCAGTTTTGTGCTACCCTGTCTTCTCTGCTGAGCCCGGAGGGAGTGCTGTCTCTCCACGGTCCCTCCCGTCCGTCACCTCCTGCCAGCTGGACAGCCTCAACTCCCGCGCCGCCCCGTCCCAGCTTCTCCTTCCTTCCACAAGCTCCCTCCGGCGCCTGGAGCTTCCCCCATTCAAAATGCTCCGTGGTCCCCCCGCCCTTGCACCGAAATGACACCCCAGCTCCCTGCGGTGGCCTATGCGGACCTGCGCGGTCTGGGCTCTGCCCACCTCCAGCTCCTGAGGCTGTTTCTTCACGCCCGAACCTAGTCACCCTCCCCAAACGCGCCACGACCTAGGGTACTTGCAAACTCTGTACTTGGTTTCCCCCTCTGCCTGCAACACCTCCCCGTCTTCTTCCTCCTCCTGGCTAACGCTTATTCCAATGTGAAGACGCAGCTCAGAAGCCTCCTCCTCCAGGGAGCCCTCCCGGACCCTCAGGCTGGGTCAACCTCCTGTCTGGGTTCCCGCAGCAACCTGAGGTCCCCTGGCCCAGCCCTGCCTGCTCTGGGTTGTCACTGTGTTGTGGCACGTGTGTCTCCCCCCACTGGACTATGAGCACTGTGAGAATAGGCTTCATGCCGTCATATCATCTCTTTGTCCCCGGCAATGTCGTGCACAGGGCTGAGTCCAGAGGATCCCCCAGAAACAGATATTGGAGGGTGCCTGGGTGGCTCAGGCAGTCGAGCCTCTGACTTTGGCTCGGGTCATGATCTCACAGTTCATGGGTTTGAGCCCTGCGTCGGGCTCCGTGCTGACAGCTCGGAGCCTGGAGCCGGCTTTGGATTCTGGGTCTCCCTCTCTCTCTCTCTCTCTGCCCCTTCCCTGCTCCCTCCCTCTCTCAAAAATAAAGATGAAAATAATAATAATAATAATAAAGAAATAGATATTGAAAGAATGTGGCTTCAGAGAGAGACATCACTTCGCTTCCTGGTATATTTCCATTCCCAAAGCCTGGTTTGTTTCCATCTCCCTGTTCAACCACAATTCCTAGTGTATTTTCAGTTCCTACAGTTAGGCCTCCCTGAAGGAGGCCTGATGTTGTATAAGGGACAGAAGCCTTGAGCTCCAGCTCGTTCCCTGTGGGACTTCAGGCCAGTCCCTCGTCTGCTGCTGGGCCTCAGTTTCCCCAATCGGTACCACAAAGGGCCAATGTTGGTCTCCCAAGACTGAACCTGTGAATCCAAGTGCCACGGTGTCTCTGGCCACAGGGGGGCAGTGTGGGCCCATCTGAGACCCAAGGAAGGCGAAACCCGCACAGGTGGGAGAGAGCTGGGATGCACCCCGGACCCTGACTGTCTCCGTGGCAACGGAGGCGCCCAGGCTGTCTGAGGAGGCCGTGACATTTAACCTGTTCCCACCCTCCAGCTCTCTGACGCCAGGAGAAAGCCCAGCTGGGACCTCTCCTCCCCTCAGCTCTCTGCCTCCACCCCTCCGGCTGCCTTTCTCTCTGTGTATCCCTCTCTCGCTCTTTCTCGGTCTCTCTCTGGCCCTCTGCAGTTTACTGACTTCATTCTCTACACCCCTCAGGTTCTCTCCATGTCTCTGTCTCTCTCCGTGATTCTCTGCACCTCTCTCCTTGTGTGTGTCCATCTCTCCTGTTTGTATCTGTTCCCTATCTTTCCCTGTGTCTTTCTTTTTCTTTGTGTCCTCGTTCTCTTTCTCTTCTCTATCGTTCTCTGTCCTCTTCTTGCCCCCTTTCTCTCTTTCTATTCATTTCTCTCTTTTCCTCCCCAGCACTCTGTCTCCCCATCCCTCCCTCTCTCTCCTCTCTCCTCCCTCCCCACTTACCTGCGCTCACTGTAACTGCCTCTAAAAACTGTTCCCTCCATGAATGGGTCCCAATCACCAAGGCCAAGTTGGTTTTCTTGATGAGCTTATCCACCGTGTTCTGAGGAGGAAAGGGAGGGGAAGAGACCATTGCCTGTGACCACCTCAGCGCATCCCTGAGGCTCCCTGAGGAACACTGGGGTTGGGGCTCACAGCCCAGGGGTCCTCAACCTCCCCACACCCCAGTTCACAGGCAAGAAGGGAAAAGGTGGTGTTGCTGTCCATGGTGCTGGCGGAGGGATGGGCTCGGACCCTAGATCACCCTCCTAGTTGACTCTTACCAGACCTTCCCCAAGACTCCAGGAAGCTGGCGTCCCCAGAAAGTCACCTTAAAATCATATGACTCCTCGATGATGACCTCCAGTCGGCGGTTTTCCCCAAGAACTGGTTTGCCCATCTCTGCTATCCTCCGAGCCTCCTCCTCCTCGGCTGTCAGCTTCCTGTCCCCATCCCCTGCAGCATGAAGGACGGGAGTTAGGCTCACTGGGCCTGTGATGCCCTCACTATCTGTTCCCACTGAGAAAGAAAACTCTGTCAGCTGTCCCTTAGGAAGCCTCCGCGGTGGCACGCCCCCAGCCTGCCCCCGTGTCCCCATATGACCACCATCTTCCTCAACCTAAGACCCAGCTGGTCCGTGAAGTTCAGCTGGTAGGCTCTGGGCTTCAAATGGAGGGAGCTGTGTGACCCCGGGCAATGCCTTAGCCTCTCTGTGCCTCCGTGCTCATATCTGTGAAACAGGTACAACAACAGTAGCCACCTATGGCTGGTTGTGAGGGTTTAAAGGAGTTACTTCATGTGTGGTGCTTAGGGCTTAGTGCCCGGCACACATAAATAGTCTAAAATGCTATTTCCTTTGTTAAAATCGCCAACACCGTCATCATCATCACCACCCTCGTGGGAGGAGGCCTTGTCTCTATATCTAAGCTCTGAAAAACATCTTCGAGTGTGTTTGAGGTGGTGCGGAAAGAGGGGATAGCCAATGTTGGCACAGATCTTGGACCCAGACCCACCTGTAGCTGGCCCTCAGCTCACCTGTCTCCCCAAAGCATGGTGGTCCTTTGTTCCAAGCCCAGCACCAACTTAACCCTAACTCTTAGAAGAATGCCACCCCAACCAGGTACACTCTCAGAAAACTCTGCCAGCAATGACTTTTATTGTGGTTAAGCTTCTGGGATTTGGGGGCCTATTTGTTACAGCAGCTCCTATCACTTACCCTGACTAATGCAATCTTTAGTCTGACCCTAATCCTAACTCCAAATCCAGATTCTGATCTCAACTCCCGAACTACTCTGTCCCTTATGTTCAAGCAGCTGCCGCCACCCCCCCCCCACACTCTGGCCCCGGCCCCAATTCTAACACCATCCCCCCCCCCCCCCAACTCACCTCAAACCCCAGCTTAGGCTTTGATCTAAATCTGACCCCAATTCTAATCTGACCCCACCACAAACCCAGATGGGATCCTGGCCTACCATTCCCCCAACGTGCACTACAAACAAAACATGATCTTGGCCTCCGAACCCCCAGCTGTAGCCCCAAACTCAATGGACCCCACCAACTCTGAGATCAACTCCAGCCCTCACCCAGCTCCGCGTCTGCCTTTATCTCACCTCCAACCCGCCTCAAACGTGACCTCAACGGGTAGCTTGAGGCCATGACCCTCCTCCCGAGACCCCCCTGCAGTCAAAGCCCGGCGGTGACTCCACTCACCTTGATTGAGCAGCAGGGCTGGGGAGAGACAGAGACAGAGAGAAGGTGAGATTGCTTCCCTGGGAAGCTCAGATCTACGAGCCTTAAGGAGCAGCCACTAATGGAACCTCTGAGGGTCCCCCCCACACACACACACCCTGGACCCCTTACCTCTCCCACAGCATACCTGTCACCCCTCACCTGAAATCCCTCGCTTAAGCCACTGTGGCTGGCCCAGCTCGATGAAGAAATTATCCTTTTTCTCATATTCCTCGTCATCAACTATCTTCACCTGAAGAGTTTTCCTGAGCGGGGAGGAAAAGCACCCAGCATGAGGCCCCAGCCCGAATCGCCAGGTAACTCGCCACTTGCCCAATTTCTGGAGCGCCCCTCCATCCCAGGCCCTGCAATTTCCCCCCAGGCTCATTCCCTCCGTTCCTCTGGATCTCTGTTCAAACCTCTTTCTTAATGAAGCTCACTTCCGCCACCTTCTTTAATATTGCAATCCATCCCTGTCCCGACCTCAGCACGCCTGGCCCCCTTCCCCTGCTCTACGTGCGCTTTGTTCCATATCACCTTCTAACAGACCATCTAATATGTTTATTTTGTTTACGGTTTGCCATTTGTCTCTTCACATTAAAATGTAAGTTCTCAAAAAAAAAAAAAAAAAAAGAAAAAAAGTAAGTTCTGGGCGCCTGGGTGGCTCAGTCAGTTAAGCGTCAGACTGACTGCAGCTCAGGTCATGATCTCGTGGTCCGTGAGTTCAAGCCCCGCATCAGGCTCTGTGCTGACAGCTCAGACCCTGGATTCTGCTTCAGATTCTGTGTCTCCCTCTCTCTCTGCCCTTCTCCTGCTCACGCTTTGTCTCTCTCTCTCTCTCTCTCTCTCTCAAAAATAAATAAATATTTTAAAAATGTAAAAAAAAAAAAAGTAAGTTCCACCAGGGCAGCGATCTTTGTTCATTTATGTACTTTGCTGCACCCCTCCCCCCCAATGCCTAGAGCGGTGCCTGTTCCACAAACATTTGTGAACTCTGATCCTTCAGTTCAGGAGGCCCTCTGCTTCCTGCCCTCTGTCCTGACCGCATTCTGAGGATTAACTGAGCGCTGATTGATTTTTCTCAGCATCCGCGCTGCTATGGTAACCAGGGGGTGCCGGCGGTGGGGGGTGGGGGGAAGAGCCAGGAGTTATCCGTGCCCTCCAGGCACACAGCCCACCCCCCTCACTCACAAAGACCCAGAAAACCCACAGCCCTGCCGCTAGCAGCCCTTTCAGCTGTAGGAACCTTGAGGCCCGGCCCCAGAACCCAGAAACACAAACAGCCAGCCCACACAGTCACCCAGCAGAAGCCAATCAACACCGCCCACACCCACACACCATCACACCCCGCAGCCATTCCCTATGCAGTGGCAAAATCACACAGACCAGATGCCTGTTAGCACAACACCCCCACCGCAGCCTCGGCGACTTCGCCAACCTGCAGAGCCCCACTGTGGTTCCATGTAGACTCTTCCTGTCTTACATCTCGCCCATTATGGCTCTCGGGTGTCTGTTTATTTTTATCCCCTTCAGTCTCTCTCTCTCTCTCTCTGTCTCCATCTCTGACCCTGTCCGTCTCAGTCTCTTCCCAGCTCTCTGCCTTCCTTTATCCGTGTTCCCCTCTCCCTGTCTCAGCGTCTGCAGAATGGAACCGCCAAAGTCACCACAATTCAAGCAAAACGCTCTCGATCAGAGAGTCACTCAATGGACCCATCTCAACACACAAACGCACAGGATACAGCGACACCCATGTAGAGACAGATGCACACAAGATGGCCATGTGGGGACATATGCCCACTTCCACCCTCACCCCCTTCTGGTCTCAGGATATTTTAATTTTCTGTGGGCAGAAAGAAATGGCCACCCCCAGCCTCAGAAGTGGACTGGGAGCTGTCCAAGGTTCTGGAACACCGTGGCGGGAAGCAGGGTCTCCTGAGACATTCTACTCACACACCCTGACATGTGCAGACAGCTGTCGAGCCCGCGACACGCAGACAGGGTGATACACACACACCTCCGACGCTCACTCTCTCGCAGACACGCCGGGATCCACTGACGCCCGGTGACTGACACGCAGTGACACCCATGCCAACTGGCATCCTGACGGGCGCGCCCTCGTGGAACCCAGGGAGGAGAAACCCACTTGGCAGGGGACAGCGAGAGGGACTCGGGCTAGACTAAGGCAGGGCTTCCCGAGATCAAAGGAAGCAGCCGTGCTCCCCAGGCTGACCTTCTGTCACCCTCACGTGTGCCCTCTTTGCGTCCTGGAAACCCCACTCTCCAGCCCTTCCCAGCCTCTGAACTCGGACCGGTCTCCTTCGCAACCCTGTCGTTTGTCCCTCTCTCTGACCCAAACTCTCTGAGGCATCAAGAAGATCTCTCCTCCCCCGAGTTCCCCTGAGTTTCTCTCAGTAAGAAGGTCTCTGTCTCTTCCCTTCAGGCTTCCTGGATCATAGCCTCTCAATCCCTCTCCTCTCTCTCCACGTACTTCTGTGTCAATTTCCTTCCCCCTTTGTGTCAACGTTCCTGTCTTTCCGTCTCTTTCTTTCTCTGCTTCTGTTACTCTGTCTCTGTGTCTCCATCTCTCTCTAGGTCTTCTCTGTCTCTGAGCGCCTCTCTCTCTCTCTTTCGCTCTGCATTCTCTCCCCGCCACCCCATCTCTGGGCGTCTCTCCTCCACTTCCGTGTTGATCCTCCCTGGGGCCACCCCTCTGGCCCGGCCCCCGGGCTGCTTCCAGGCACCTCTAATTAGCGCCTGCCCCGGAGAAAGGAAGGATGTGTTTCCCTAAATGCTAATTAGCCTCCTGTTCTCTGTCTTCTGAAGCCACAGCTGGAAGACTGGGTGGGGGCAGGGGTAGGGGCGGGGGCAGAGGGTGTCCCAGCCTGGGGAAGCCCTGTGGGGGAGGAGAGGGCCCGTGGGGTCGCAGCAGCAGGAGGGAAGCCGGTTAGACTACAGGGAGGACCAGGATAAGCAGAAAGACAACTCTCTCCATTCCCCCTGCCTCTGGAAGGTGACAAGTGGGGTCCGGGATGGTGCCCTCAGCCCTCAACCCGAGTTCTCAGCCCAACGCAGGCAGAGAGGCAGATGGAAAGGTACGGAGAGGCCGGCACTGAAATATAACCCGGGTCAGCGAGATACTGGGGACCGAGATCCGGAGATTAACGGAGCCCCAGAGAGGGCCTGCCAACAGCGAGACACGCGGAGACACGAAGGGAGGGACGGGATGGAGAGGCGGGGAGAGCAGCGAGGAGCTGAGCGGAGGCCCAGGCCCAGAGGCTGGGAGGGGGAGGGGGCAGGGAGCGCGGCGGGGGCTCTGCTCGGTGGGAGGAGCGCGGGCGGCAGAAGGAGGGAGACAGACGGGCGTGCGGGGGCGGAAGAGAGCAGGGAAGGGGGGGGAGAGGTGGGGGAGGCGCCGTCTGCACGCCAGGCATGCGGCGGGGATGTGAGGCTGCAGGCACACAGAGGGGACTCGGGCATCTGTGCAAGGGGGTGGCCGCGTGTCTGAGCGTGAGACCACCCCTGACTGTGCTCCAGCGCGCGTGTCTGTAGCTTTGTGATTCCGTGTGTGCCGGTGTGTGCGTTGGTGTGACTGTTATCCAGGCCACTTGCCCCGACCCCACCCGCCTTCCCCAAATCCCAGTCTTCCAGTGTCTTCAGGGCCTCTTCAGGCCCTGCCCCCACCTTCCCAGGCCCTACCATTCCTACTCGGTCTTTTTTTCCCCAAAGCCTCGCTCACATTTCCCTTAAGTCTCCAGCTATTTCCCCAGAGCCTTCCTCCTACCCACAAGCCCCACCCCTCCCCTAGGCCCGCCCCAAGACCCGCCCCTTCATCTTGGCCCCGCCCCGGCACTCCTGTCTCCTCCCTCCCCGCCTCTGCCCCGCCCCCTCCCTAGGCCTTGCCCCGCCTCCCGCCAGCCCCCGCCCACTATATGGACGCGCCCCACCCACTTCTCAAGGCCCGGCCCCAATGCCGTGGCCCCGCCCCTCCCGCGCCCCGCCCACCTCGTCCGCCGTGCCCGCGCCCTCGGCCCCGCCCCGTCTTCCCGCCGCGGTGCCCCGGGGCTGCCGGCCGACGCGCTCACATGGTCTCGTCGTCGCCGAACTCGAGCTCGCCGCACGCGTCCTCGTAGTGCACGCCGCCGCCGCGCGCCGTGCCGTCCACGGTGCGGTACGGAAGGCGCACGGTGCCCCGCGCGCCCGAGCTGCGCACGACGCGCACGTCCACGGTGCCCATGCACTCGCTCACGTGCAGCAGGCGGTCCTGGAAGGAGAAGATGCCCGCGTGGTCGTCGTCCAGGATGGTGACGGTGGCCAGCAGTGGCGCCACCAGCCGTCCCTTCGGCCGCCCGCCGCCGTCGGGCTCGAACATGCCCTGCGCGTCGCCCACGCGCAGGTTCAGCAGCCGCACGAAGAAGTGTTCGTCCTCCTCGAAGATGTCGTCGTCGATGATGCCGATGCGCAGCTCCTTCTGTGTCTCGCCCGGCTTGAACACCAGCGTGCCCTCGCTGCGGCGGGAAGGGGAGGGGACAAAACAGGGGTGAAGGTTGGTCAAAGGCTCTTTGCGAGGGAGGGGAGTCAGGGTAGGCTTCCTGGAGGAGGGAAAGGCGCCACCGAAAACTCACAAGTACGAGACTGGCCCGGTGTTAAACACATAGTACTGAGGGTGAGTCAGGGGTGCAGAAGGCGAACAACGTAAGGGTTGGTCTCTCCCACCATGGAATCCGTGAGGATTGGGAGCGCCAGCATTAAATAGATAACTCCACTGTTTAACTTGGCTCATTCATTCAACAAATACTCCCTGAGCACCTGCTCTGGGCCCTGTGCTGGGCAGTGCTGGGAACACAGTGGGGAAGAGGCCCTTCCTTCACGGGGCTCGGAGGCCTGTGGGAGAGCCACATCACAGTGACAGTTGCACATGTAATAAGTTATTTACAGTTCATTCATTCCACAGGTATTTGTTAAGCACCCGCTGTGTGCCAGGCACTGTTCTTAGTGTTTCTTGGGGGAAACAGCAGCAAAACCAGATCAGAGCAACATCCCTGCCCTGGTGGAGCTTCTATTCTAGTACAGGAGGCACATAAACAGCCAACATTATATAGAATGGCAGGTGGTGATGGCGCTATGGAGAAAAATAGAGGAAAACAGAGGAGAGGGTAGGGCGCGGGAAGGCGTTGTGTTAGGATGTCAGCGAAGGCTTTTCTCAATGGTGACATTTGAGCAGAGACTTGAGGGAGGTGAGGGTGGGAGCCGTGTGGAGGAGATCTGGGGAAAAGTAGCCCTGGCAAAGGGAACAGCCAGTGCAAATGTCCTGAGGCAGGAGTCGCTTGGAGTATCTAAGGGATGTATCTGAGTATCTGAGAGGCGGCCAGTGTGGCTCCAGCGGAGGGAGTAAGGGGAAGAGGGAGATGAGATCACAAAGGGAACAACAGGGCAGACGTCACAGGGCTTTGGTGGGCTACGCTAAGGACTTTGGTGCTTATGCCGAGTGGGATGGGAAACATGGGAGGCCTCTGAGGAGGGGAAGGATGTGAGCTGGCTTAGATCTACAAGGGCATCGGTTGTGTCTCTGAAGCACATTCGAGATACCCTCTAATGGGGCAGGGGAGGGGATGAGCGACGTCGGAGTAGTCCGAGTGAAACTTTGAGGGGACAGGAAATGATTGGGCTCCTGGCAGGGCTGTAGGCATCAAAATGACTCTGGGCTGTAAATGCACCTTGACCACCTATAATTTCCCCTCCCGGTCCTCCCCACCACGCGCCACAGGCACCGGTGCCAGGGCTATGTGATCGAGAAGTGTCCTCTATTATTACTGTGATCACTTTCGTGAGAAAGAGGTCCCGGGCTCTAATTCTCCAGAAGAAGCCGGCTCTGTGGGAGGCGCAGAGGGACCCCAAGGCAAAGAGGGAGAACCAGATGATAAGCCTGGAGTGGACAGAGAAGGGACTCCCTGTCGTGGCCGCCTTCAGCTCGGGAGACGCTGTCCATGGTGGCCAAGGCATCCAGCCCCGTGAGCTAACCTGCTCCAAGCCGGGTTCCGCTGCTGTGCCAGCTGTGGGATCTCGGGCAGTTAGGATGTGCAGCCCCTCTGAGACTCAGTTTCCCGATCTGTAAAGTGGAGCTAACAACCGTGCCTACCTCCTGGTGGTGTGATAAGGACTGAGTTATTATGCAAGGGAAGCACTCAACCAAACTTAGCTAGTGATATGTGTATATGAAGATTAGAATCTTAGAGGGGCGCCTGGGTGGCTCCGTTGGTTAAGCGTCCGACTTCGGCTCAGGTCATGATCTTGGGGTTTGTGGGTCTGAGCCCTGCTGATGGTGCAGAGCCAGCGTGGGATCCTCTTTCTCTCCCTCTCTCTGTGTCCCTCTCGCTTCTCTCTGTCCCTCTGCCCCTATCCTGCTCCTGTGTGTGCTTTCTCTCTCTCTCTCTCTCTCTCTCTCTCTCTCTCTCTCTCTCTCTCAAAATAAAGAAACTTTAAAAAAAATCTTAGAATTCTAACGTTATGGGATGTCAGAAACATGACCTGAAGGGATGGTAGAAGGTGGGGATGTTAGGACTATCTTTGCCAAATGATTAAAGTGGCATCAGAAGCAGTGGGGCAGGCGGGCGTCATGGGCCTCCTGATATCATGCACTGAGGAGGACACAGCATCACTTACGTGAATTCCTGCCAAAAAGTGCGCCCCCTGAACTGAATCATGAGGAAACATCGGACAAAGGCCAACTGTGGGCTGTTCTAACTGGCCTGTCTTCAAAAGCGTCAGGGTCATGAAAGGCAGAGAAAAGCCAAGGGATCGATATCCCGACTGAAGAACTCTAAAGAGACCCGACAGGGACGCCTGGGTAGCTCCATCAGTTAAGCGTGCGACTTCAGCTCCGGTCATGACCTTGGGATTCACGAGTTCGAGCCCCGCATCGGGCTCTGTGCTGACAGCTCGGAGCCCGGAGCCTGCTTCGGATTCTGTGTCTCCCTCTTTCTCTGCCCCTCCCCCGCTCACGCTCCGTCTGTCTGTCTCTCTCTCGAAAATAAATAAACGTTAAAAAATTTTTTTTTTTTGTTAAAGAGACATGACAACCAAATGCAACGTTGGGTTCTGGATTGGACGGGCAAGGAGGGAGCGTGTGCAAATAATGTCACAAAGGATGCTACGGGGACAGCAGGAAGATGCAAACAGGGACCGTAGACTGGGGAGTAATATGGATTCGGTGTTTACGTGTCCTGAGCGGGACGACCGGACTGTGACTGTGGTGGTGGGGCGGGGGTGTCATACATCTTAGCAGATGCACGTGCGAGTATTCATGGGCGAATGGCCCTGCTGTCTGCAACTCATTCCCATATAGTGGCACAACTATTAATACTCTTACATATTAACTGGAAGGGGTGTGTGAATGAGCACAGGACGAAATCTGCACAACTGGTGAATCTGGGCGAGGGCTATAAGAGGGTTCCCGGAACCACTTTTGCAGCCCTTGTGTAGGTGTGAATTCTTTTTTTTTTTTTTTTTTCCAAAACGGAAGGTTGGGAAGAAAAAGGACACGGGGATTTTAGAAACCAGGCGCGATGGAAATATAGAAGATGGGCTTCCGCTTCAACACTGGATGCGCAAACCCTAAGAAGACGAAAGGCTTTGGACCATCGCATCCGAGACTGGTTGGGGGCACGGATTAGACTATCCAAATGTGGGGGCTGAGCCTGGGGGGCTCAGTTGGTTGAGTGTCCGACTTCTGGTTTCGGCCCAGATCATGATCTCATGGTTTGTGAGTCCGAGCCCCGCACCGGGCTCCGCGTTGAGCCTGGAGCCTGCTTGGGATTCTCTCTCCCTCTCTCTCTGCCCCTCCCCTGCTCATGCTCTCTCCCTCTCTCTCAATATAAATAAATAAACTTAAAAATATATATATCCAGGGGCGCCTGGGTGGCTCAGTCGGTTAAGCGTCCGACTTCGGCTCAGGTCATGATCTCACGGTCCGTGAGTTCGAGCCCCGCATCGGGCGCTGTGCTGACAGCTCGGAGCCTGGAGCCTGTTTCAGATTCTGTGTCTCCCTCCCTCTCTCTCTGACCCTCCCCCGTTCATGCTCTGTCTCTCCCTGTCTCAAAAATAAATAAACGTTAAAAAAAATTAAAAAAAAAAATATATATATATCCAAATGTGAGAGTCTTGGAATCTGAGAACTTTAGACCCTTGGCATGTGAGGATTACGGGGGCTTCAATCTCAGAATCTTGGGACAGCTGTGCCGTTTTGGTGCCTCGGAGATCATCTTTAATTTGGAGAAACTGGGGCGCCTGGCTGGCTCACTCAGTAGAGCATGGGACTCTTGATCTCGGGGTTGTGAGTTTGAGCCCCACATTGGGTTTAGAGATAAACAAGTAAACTTTTTAAAAACTGGGAGAAACTGAGGCCCATCGACCACCCTAATCTCTATGATCCCTGTGGGCAAATCAGACAAAGGCATCCCTTCTTTAGGACACTTGGTTTCCATGAATCAGGACATTAGCACAATAGACATACAAGTCTGCAATGTCCGCTCTGTGAACAGAGCTTTCTTAGATGCGGTGCTCTTATGCAGTGCACAACCTCAATAACTGTGCGTGACAGCCCTGACTGCCCACACTGAGGCAGGAAACTTGCCTGACGAACAGGGTCCAGGGCTAATCTTGGAACCCAGGTGCCCTCCCTCCCGGTCCCGGACCTAAGCAGCCTTTGAATGGTGATGCCAGGTCTGTGAATGTCACCTGGGATGGGAGAGCAGGGGCCGAAGGAAGATGTCACCCTTTCCTCGCTCTTTGGTTCCACCCCCGAGCAGCATTTACTGCTGCACTTCAAACATCTCAGTACTGAGGTCATTTGCCGATGAGAAAGCGGGCTCTGATTCCGGCAGGGATACCCGCACTCGCTTCCTTCTGCAAAACCTTTGGCGGGGGGAGGGGGGGGGCGGGCAGTGCAGACCAGGGGTGGGGGTACGAGTGCAAGAGTGAAGAGGCCGGGCTAACGGCAGACACCTCAATGTGGCGAATGCCTTTTCTTCCCTCGAAGGAGGCTGGGAGGCGGGGACTGGCAGGGGGAGGTTGGAGGAAGCAGGTTGCGGGTGGCCAAAGGGATCCCGTGCTCCAGGATGACAGAAGGAGATCCTGAGCCCCACTCGGGAGAAGGCAGGGGGTGGGCGGAAGGGCAGGAGAAGTGAATGGGGACGGGCCCGATACGAGGGTCCTGGACTGCCCTAGGTGGGGGGAAGCGACCCACAAATGCCCGAAGCAGTGGAAAGACGCGAAGGCGTGACAGTGGCACGCAGGGGAGGCTGGGCTACCCGAGGTGGCCGAGGGAAAGACTGGCGAAACACAGCACTCAGCCCTAGGACGAGAAGCGTTAAAGGGAGGCGGGGCGGGCAGGGCAGCGGCAGGAGGCGAGGACCAAAGACCCTCCAAGAGTTCCGCCTCAGCTCTACTCCAGGAAGGGAGTGACAGGGAGGCGTGGCCGACTACGTGGCCGAGGGGACCCTGTCAACAGCGTGGCCACCAGCACTGCCTCCCAGTCTCCGCTCTGCTTTCCTCACAGCCCTCGCCACTGACATTGTGCGTATTCGGTGTCTGCTTCCCAATGGTCTGTCTCTCCCGCGAGAGCGTCAGCTGCCTTTGGGCAGGGCCCGGACGTGTTGCATTCACAGGCCGGTCCCCACTGCCCAGGTTCGTTCCTGGCGGGTGGGAGACCCGTGAGAAGTGTCGTCATTACCGTAGGAAACTATGAGACACCTACGCGTCAGCCAACAGAATATACCGTAAAGCTATCATTCTATAACCCACGAGCCCCGCGTCGGGCTCTGCGCTGCCGGCTCGGAGCCTGGCGCCTGCTTCGGAGTCTGTGTCTCCGTCTCTCTCTGCCCCTCCCCCGCTCACGCTCTGTCTCTCTCAAAAATAAACCAACGTTAAAAAATATAGGGGGCGCCTGGGTGGCTCAGTCGGTTAAGGGTCCGACTTCAGCTCAGGTCACGATCTCGCGGTCCGTGACTTTGAGCCCCGCGTCGGGCTCTGGGCTCATGGCTCAGAGCCTGGAGCCTGTTTCCCATTCTGTGTCTCCCTCTCTCTCTGCCCCTCCCCCGTTCATGCTCTGTCTCTCTCTGTCTCAAAAATAAATAAACATTTAAAAAATTAAAAAAAAAAATATAGTCCCTGACACATAGTAGGTGTTCAGCAGGAATTGCCGAACGGGGGAAGATCACAGGTCTGCTCAAAAAGAGGGCAGGGAGCCGGGCAGCGAGACTCAGGAGGGTGCAAAGGGTGCGTTTCTCCGCGGCAGAAACCAAGGACCTGGGGCTCATTTGGGCACTGCCTCTCTCCTCTTATCTCATTTAGTTCTCCCACATGGCGCTTACCAGCCCCCTGATGTTTTTATGTATTTAATGGCTTATAACCTTATTGCAACTTGAGGGTAGGGACCTTAGCTGTCTCGTTCTCCATGGTGTATACCCCCCAGGCATATGGTAGGTGCTCAGTAAACCTTGTTACTTTAGTAATGGTGTGTGTGCGTGTGTGCGTGTGTGCGTGTGGAGGGGAACCTGTTCCAGCAGGTGACAGTACATGTCCTGGAGCTATAATAATTAACCCAGGGTGATGTCAAGCCCCGAAACCCACAGGTAGATCATAATCATGGGAAGGCAGCCTGTGGGCGGGCCGCGGCCACGCTCTGTGGCTTGTCTAGCAGCGTGTGGCAAATGTCTACAAGAGTGTCCCAGCATCGGCCACCTGGCAGGGGGAGGGGGTGGGGAGGGCGAGAGACTCTCCATGTCGGCTCAGGCCATGATCTCGCGGTTGGCGGGTGCGAGCCCCGCGTCGGGCTCTGGGCTGACGGCTCGGAGCCTGGAGCCTGTTTCCCATTCTGTGTCTCCCTCTCTCTCTGCCCCTCCCCTGCTCACGCTCTGCCTCTCTGTCTCTGTCTCTCTCTCTCTAAAATAAAAAGCATTAAAAAAAAAAAAAGCAACAGCAAGAGCGAACGGAGGAGCGAGCCGATGAGCGAATGGTGCAGGCCTGCGCGCGCAGCAAGGGAAGCGTGGGCGCTGGAGGTCGCCGGGAGGCCGCCGGGCCCGGGGCCGCGCACAGCCCCGGGGCCGCGCACAGCCCCACCCACCTGTACTCGTAGTCGGAGCCGGCCTTGGCGGAGCCGTCCTCGGTGCGGTAGTCCACGTAGAAGGTGTTGTTGCCCTCCCCGCCCTGGCAGGCGACGGACAGCAGCACGGAGCCGCAGTTCTCCAAGCAGTGGTAGAGGCCGGGCTCGAAGAAGATGCGGCTGGCGCCGTCGTCCTCGTCCTCGCCGGGGCCGTCGGCCGGGGAGGCGCGGCGCGAGGCGTCCGCCGCGTGTCGCCGCAGCACGTTGCCGGCGCCCGTCATCAGCCGCGTGGCCTGGATGCGGTAGAAGGCGCGGCTCTTCTGCTGGTGCAGCAGCGCGTAGTAGTTGGCGATGCCCACCAGCTGCTCCAGGTCCTTGTCCGGGTGCTTCTGCTTCAGGTCCTTGAGGATCTGGATGACCTCGCGGCGGCTGGCGTCCAGCTCGCGGGCCTCGGCGGGGCCGGGGCCCAGGCCGCCCGGCTCGCCCGGCACCTCGGCGCCCACGAACGTGCCGTCCAGCTCGATGCTCTTGGGGGGGTCGCCCTCGGCGCCGATGATGATGCCGCTGCGCGGGTCGGTGCGGTAGCGCTTGTACACGTACTTGTAGAAGAGCAGCCGCTTGTCGGCCATCCAGGCGAACACCACGCACACCGGGAAGAAGACGAGGGTCAGCAGCGCCTCCCACACCTGCGGGCGGCCGCGCGGGTCAGGACCGCCGCGCCGCCAGGGGGCGCGCTCGCCGCCCGCCGTCGGGCCGCCC